TCGATCCTATTCTGTTGGACTTCGGGATCGGAGTAATGATTAACAGGGACAGTCAGGGGCATTCGTATTTCATAGTCAGAGGTGAAATTCTTGAATTTATGAAAGACGAACAACTGCGAAAGCATTTTCCAAGGATGTTTTCATTAATCAAGAACGAAAGTTAGGGGCTCGAAGACGATCAGATACCGTCCTAGTCTCAACCATAAACGATGTCGACCAGGGATTGGCAGATGTTGCTTTAAGGACTCCGCCAGCNTGAGAAATCAAAGTCTTTGGGTTCCGGGGGGAGTATGGTCGCAAGGCTGAAACTTAAAGGATAGATCATTGCAATTGTTGGTCTTCAACGAGGAATTCCTAGTAAGCGCGAGTCATTAGCTCGAGTTCACTATGTCCCTGCCCTTTGTACACACCGCCCGTCGCTCCTACCGATTGAATGGTCCGATGAAGTGTTCAGATTGTGGCGACATGGGCGGTTCGCTACCTGCGACGTCGCGAGAAGTCCACTGAAGCTTATCATTTAGAGGAAGGAGAAGTCGTAACAAGGTTTCCGTAGGTAAACCTGCGGAAGGATCATTTTCGATGCCTAAACATCAAACGACCCATGAACGTGTTTACAAACTTTTTGTGTCGGGGGGAGCATTCATGCACCCTCTGATGCCCAAGCAAAAACTGGCGCAAGTCGCGCCAAGGATCTCAAACGTATAAGCTTTCCCCTTGCCCCGATCTCGGTGTGAGGGGGGCAAAGCATTATTGTCGTATTATTCACAACGACTCTCGACAATGGATATCTCGACTCTCGCATCGATGAAGAACGTAGTGAAATGCGATACTTTGTGTGAATTGCAGGATCTCGTGAACCACCGAGTCTTTGAACGCAAGTTGCGCCCGGAGCCTTCTGGCCGAGGGCCCGTCTGCCTGGGCGTCACTCATCGCGTCCCCCACATACAACAACCACTTAGGTTTGTTGCATTGGCGGGGGCACATGTTGGCCTCCCGTGTGCACCGTCGCACAAATGGCTTAAAATTGAGTCCTCGGCATCTGTTGTCATGACACTACGGTGGTTGATTCAACCTCGGTATCATGTCTAGATCACAGCTTGCGTTCCTCCTTTTTGTGAGTGAGGGAGGGAGGGAGGAATCTTATGTTGACCCTTTGAACATTGTCCCCAAAGACGATGCTCTCGACGAGACCCCAAGTCAGGCGGGACTACTCGCTGAGTTTAAACATATTAATAAGCAGAGGAAAAGAAACTTATAAGGATTCCCTTAGTAATGGCGAGCGAACTGGGAAGAGCCCAGCTTGAGAATCGGGCGCCCTCGACGTTCGAATTATAGTCTGAAGAAGCGTCCTCAGCGATGGACCGGGAACAAGTCCCCTGGAAGGGGGCGCCAGAGAGGGTGAGAGCCCCGTTATGCTCGGACCCTGTCGCACCTCTAGGCGCTATCAACGAGTCGGATTGTTTGGGAATGCAGTCCCAATCGGGAGGTAAATTCTGTCCAAGGCTAAATATGGGCGAGAGACCGATAGCAAACAAGTACCGCGAGGGAAAGATGAAAAGGACTTTGAAAAG